AGACCTTCAGCTTGGCCACTTGTGCTCAGCACTGAGCAGGAGCTTGGCCACCACTGTGGTGACTTCTTTTGGGTTTTCCTTGCCTTAAAGGCTTAGCTAACCTGGCTTTAGAGATGACTGAAGGGAGGTGGGTGCATTTCACTGTGCTTGGCAACTGTCCGTTGGAAGGCCAGGCCTCGGCTTGCAGCGTGGTGCGATGGAAATCCTCTTCTGCTGGCTTGGCCCTGGGCTGCTCGACGTGTTGTGCTGTCCCGCTAGTGCATCTGTGCTGGGGCTGGTGGTACCTGCAGGCTCTGGCCTTGAGATCTCTGATAGAGTTGTTTTGAAAAGCTGCTTTGGAAAGCAGCCGGCTGCCGGGGCTGTTTAGGCTGTGGCTCTGCAGTTGTCAGGAAGCAGGCACCTACTGAAAGCACGCGAAGGAGCTCATGTAGCAGATCCCACTGCACCTGCTCAGGAACGTGGCTACCAACAGAGTTATTTAACTCTTTACCAGTGTAAATCCCAGTTACATCTAGATTCAACTGTGTGTCCAGGTCTTCAGGAGGCTTGGGCAGGAGACTGCGGAGAAGGTGTGCCTTAGCTGGTGTATCAGCCTTAGGAGCTCTTCTGAAAGCGCTGTCTGAGCTCGTGTAGGTGAGTGAATCTACACTTCAAGGCTGTAGCTCAGCTCCTGACAGCTGCAATGACTAGTTCCCCTTTTAGAGCTGTTACTGAAGCTCCAGGTCACAGGTTACTGATCAGGAGGCCACAGGTTGGGGTGGGGGGGGAAGGATGTGTTGGCTGTAGAAGGATGAAGAACTAAAACTGATCAGGCTTCATGGAGCTGGGGGACTCAGGTCTGTACTTCAGCTGTTCCTGGCTCATCTGTGGCTCCGTCCTCTGTGGCACGGGCCTACTGCGCTATGGCTTTTGAAATGTGTTCCTATTAATCACAGAATGCGGTGGAAAATCGGGCTGATCTGGGCTAGTGGAGTCTCTTCTGGCAGGTCCCACACTTGCCACTGGTCCTGCTTGTGAATCTGGGTCCTGAAGCTGACTTCCCAGCTCTGGGTGGCAGCGAGGTAGCTCAAGCTTCCTGCTAGCAGTGGCTAGCTGCCCGTGCAGCGTTAGGTGAAGCAAAGCCGCTCGGTAACTTCAGGGGTTGCTTTGCCAAGAAATTCATGTAATGCTGTCAGCTCTTTAACAAGATAAATACCTCACTGGGGCTTTTTGTCTGGAGCATTTTGATTCTAAGCCAACAAATCCCTGGTGGTTTCTTGTGTAGCTGAGGGCAGAAGCCGTCCTCTCTGGTAACTAGATTCACCGGGATTGGGTTTCTGAATGTCGCCAGCTTTCAGAGCATCCCTTGCTGCTGGGTGAACTGGGGGCAAACATATCGGATTCTGTAACTCCAGACACCTTAAACGAGCAGCTTCCCTGTGGGGTGAATCTTAAAGCAATTCTCACACAGGGCTTAACGTGGGATGTGGTGGTAACTGCCCTGAGGAGCCTGGGTTCTCGTGCTGGGCTGGCTCGTTTGAAGCGAGCTCTTGCGCTATTCCCGAGCATCCTAACGGCTCCCGTGAACTGCCGCGCTCTTGGGTAGGCTGGGAATGCAGCAGCACTGGCATGGGCTTTCTCACTTGGGGCACTCAGATTCTTGGAGTCAACGTTCGTGGGAGTGTTCAGGCCCCTTCAACAGATCTTGGGACACAGGTGAGGTGTCGGAGCATAACCCACAGCAGTGAAAGAGCTGGAGGTCTTGGTTGTTGGACAGCATCAGGCTTTGATCTCAGAGCCAGAGACTTCCAGGAGTTTACAGTCAGATGGGTACGTTTGCCTGTGCAGAGCTCCTGCACGTGTCGGTGAGCAGGAGGTGGGTAGGGGGAGCAAACAAACTGGCCTGTACCTCTTCACGGATCTTGTCGCATCGCACGCTGCCGAGTTTCCCTGGTTGCGAGAAGCTGGTAGGAAGATTAATTAATACTTGTTAGTCTTGATTGCACGAGTACTCACTCTATCATACCCTTCCTTCTCGTGGTCTTGACTTGAATTAGCATGGCAGGCTGCAGCTTCAGCTGCTTCCACTTGTCCACACCGCATTGCTGTCGTTATTTTGGTCTGCCCCATGGCTTGAGTGTCTGTGTTCTCACGGGGGGCAGCAAGGGGTATGTGCCCGATCAGTTCTGCTGCAAGAGGGGATGAACAGCCTCCCCGAGCAGCAGAAACGGTTTGCAGCGGTGAAGCTCTCCCTGTTTCTCAGCCCAGTGCTCGCCCGTCGGCGTGGGCCGCTCTAGCGCAAGTCCAGGCTGTGGAGTTGCTGAACGCAGAAGCAGCCGGAGGGGAGTTCTGTTCATGATGGGAACGTAGAAACCCTCGGGGAGCTTGGAGTTGGTGGAAAGTGCCTAACGACGGCCCCTGCAGCGGAGGGTTCGGTGTCGGCAGCTCCTGTAGTCGCTCACCTTGTGCACATCAGTGGAAATGCTGGGCTGGCTGTCGCGATCTCCTCTACGTGCTGAGCCTGAGCCCCTTGGCAAGTGGCCCCCAACAGCGTCATCTGGGCTACAGGTTGCACCCAAACATCCTAAAGATCTGGCAGCGTCTCGGGTGGACACAAAGTCGTGTAATCCTGCAGCAACTTTGAGCCTTCTTGACGCGATGAGCTTGTCCATAATTAAAGCAGTTGGCGGCTCTGGCTGCGTTCCGCTCGCTCTGGTCGGTACCTCTCCGTGATGCATTGGACGTAAACATGCTTAATTCTGAGTTCACACAGCACAGCCAGATGGCAAAATCAGTCGAGATCTGTGGCATATAGGTCACACGTAAGACTTGAGGATGTCAACAGGCTCATTTCCTTGTTTTGCTCTGGGAATCACCCCTATTGCATTTCGGGAGGTCATAACTCAGCAGGGGTGATTCATGTGGCACTTAACGTGCTCTGTCTGAAACGGTGACAGAGCTCACGTGTTGCTGATAGAACATCCTGGGAAATAAAGAAGCAAAAGCTGTTCTCTTGCAAATCCTGGTTAGAGAAGCTCTGAAAGGTGGAAGCTTTTCCAGGTGGATGGAGGTGGAGCTGTTAATGTGCTTCGAACCTGGCTGTCACCAAGCTGCTCCCGGGCAGAGCTGTACATCGCTGCTTCCTCCCTGTCCAGCAAAACAAGCTGCTAATTTGCTTCCTATCGAGCTTTCTTATCCTGTCAAACAGCATGTCCTTCCTCGGAGGAGGAGGTGAGGGTCCTGACTGTTACTGCCCTTTGCCAGGGCCTGGCTCTGCCTCACCCCGAGGCTGGACCGGCCGCTCGATGCCACGGCTCGGCGCAGCTCGGGCTGCTGAGCCGTCTCGCTGCACTGGTGTGGCTCCTGCTGGCTCCTTCCCTACCCGCTGGTTCAGGGAGCGGTACTGGCTGAACGGTAGGCTTGACGTGCCTCCTGCTCAGAGCAGTCTGAGGTCAGAGCTCAAGTGCTCGTGTCTTGAAAGCTGAAGAGGTTCTCCAGCCGGTGACCAGGCTGTCCCTCTGGATGAGCTCTCGGGCTGAGGGCGCTGCAGGGTTCCTGCCGGCTGTGGAATTGAGTTGGAACTTGACAGTTCCAAGTCGCCTCACAGCTAGCCAGGCTTCCCTGGGAAGAGGGATTGGGAACCCTGCTATGGCAGGAGGTGTGTTCACAGGACACACCGGGTCAGGCCCATCGCATCTTGCTTTGAGCTGCACGTTCACAGGAGTCTGGTACTTGCTGGGCAGTACTGGGTGTTCTCGGAGTATATCCATTCTCCTCGGGCGCCCACTCAGGACAAGGAGAAAGTGGCTCTAGGGGCTTTTTCCTTTGCAGTTCTCTGTCACTGAGAAGCTTGGGTTATGGGACTTGGAGGGAGAGTGGCGACAGAGCAGATACATTTATCCACGGGAAGTGGGAGTTGTGCCAGAACAGGAGAGAGCCCGCATGTGTATGGCTGTGCCCTTTGGAAGCTCCTGTTCTCTGCACGCGGTTGAGCTACAGGCATAGGAAGGCCGAGGCTTCGCTTGTGGCTCAGTGGGGATGTGAACCAGCTTGTCTGGCTGCTCCTGCAGTGGCTTCCTGCTCCTGCACGGCTCCAGAGGCTTGGCGCTGGGGAGGCGGACGGCGGCTGTGGCTGGGGGTGATGGTGCCTCTTTGCTGCTCAGCATAGCTGGGGTTGCAGTGTGGAGGAGCGCGGCTGAGGGCCTGACCAGGGGAGATGTGGGGGCAGCAAGGCAGCTGGGCCGGGGTGTGGGAGGTGCTGCCTCTGCACTGGGCTTCGGGCAGGAGGTGCCCGTTGGCGGCAGCAATGGGCAGCAGGAGTTTGGTCTCCGAATACACAGCCCATGCAGTGAGGGGCTGCTCCCAGGTGATATCCCTGTGACAGGTTGCTTGCCCAGCAATCCAAAGCCCTTCCTTGGGATGCCTCTACACTAACAGACTGAGCACAGAAGCTCCCTTTGTCTGGCTGCCTTGTGATCTGAGGGATGGACAGAACTGCTTCCCGTTACGGTGTTTGTGGGGCACCTCACCTCTCCTGTGAGCTCGGGGAGGAGGAAGGAGCTGAAGGTCAGCGGCTGTTACCTCTGTGAACCGGGTAATTGTTGTTTGAGTGGAGGAGGCTCTAATAACCCTGGCTGGTGTGCTGGCTGTTCTGCCTCACCCCAGCAAGGTGTGTGCAACGTCCACACAGTGGCAGTGCTGGAGGGCCTGCTGGTGGGCAGGAAGGCGTGGGTCACCAATATCCCTTCCCAAGGAGGTTTGGACAAAGAGCTGCTGGGTGACAAACTGTGGGGCTCCTGCTCGCGGCACACAGCTGAGAACTTCCCGCCCGGGGAAGGAGCCACCACCTGCCTGTGCCGCTGGTGATGTGGATCAAACCCACCCTCTGGAACTGGTATGGCTGGTCCCTGAGTGTGTCGCTAACTCTGACCTCCCCTTCCAGTTGCAACCTGCCTCCAGGTGGATCCCAGCGCGGAACCTGCAGCCTCCTTGACTCTTGGCACTCCTGCACTTAGGCTGCAATGGCAGGTCGAGGTGGAGCCGCTCGCTGCCTGTGCCGCTGGTGATGTGGATCAAACCCACCCTCTGGAACTGGTATGGCTGGTCCCTGAGTGTGTCGCTAACTCTGACCTCCCCTTCCAGTTGCAACCTGCCTCCAGGTGGATCCCAGCGCGGAACCTGCAGCCTCCTTGACTCTTGGCACTCCTGCACTTAGGCTGCAATGGCAGGTCGAGGTGGAGCCGCTCGGCCCCCACCGCCGGAAACAAAATCTGCCAGTTTAAACTTGTTCTCTTGGGAGAGTCGGCGGTGGGGAAGTCCAGCCTCGTCCTGCGCTTCGTGAAGGGGCAGTTCCACGAGTACCAGGAGAGCACGATTGGAGGTGAGTGTGGGCTCTGAATGCTGTGGCTGGGAGATGCTGGCGCTGGCCAGGGGTGTCCCGAGTATTAACGGCTGTTTCAGTCTGGTCTGGGGGTTTTGCTATAAGTAGTCCAGCAGCCAGTGCTTTAACTCTTGGGTTGCAACTCATTTATTAGTGTGAACCAGCAGAGAATGATGCTATGGCAACCATGCACACTGCCTTTAAGGCGTCTGCGCTTCCAGTGCTTGAATTCCTGCTTCTAATTAGAACCGAGGCCCTCAGCTTGGTTTACAGCCCTTAATTACCTTTTCGGACCGTGACCTGGGATTCAGGCTGTTTCTAGCCTGATAACTACTCCGCAGCTCTTCCAGGTCTGGTAGTTCTTTAGCTCGACATCGTTAGCACGGTGTAACCAACCAAAGGTCAGTCGGCACGCGGGTCCCTGAGCGGTAACTGTGGGACGTGTGAGCTGAGAAAGGGCTTGGTTCCCCCCTGTATTAACCCACACGGGGAGTAAGTAGAGCTGTAGGTGTAGCTTATGGACAAGCGTAATGCTGTGCCGTGTGGGCACTCTACTGTTCTGCTTCAGTCCGTATCCAAGGCTGGCCGCCTTGTTCCTAGCGGTTAGGCCTGGTATTATACTCGCTGGGACAAGAAAATAACCAGTTACTAAACTGGGGAGTGCGGTGTGACTCGGCTGGCTCCAGTGCTTTGGCCCTGGTGCTCTCCAGAGCTGACCCCAGCGATGCGGCTGTCCTGCACGACCTGGGAGGTGGCTGTGGGGAAGGGGCTGGTGGCACTGCTGCTGCTGGGCTCTGGGGACCACCCTCCTGGGCCCCTGTGTGTGAGGAGCTTGGCGCAGCAGAGCTGGCCCCTGCCTGGGGCTCCTGCTCGCTCCCGTGCAGCAGCAGAACTACTCCAAGCTCCTGGCCCTTGCTCCAGGGGCTCTCCAGCCGGATGTGAGGCAGACACGCCCCCTCTCTTTCAGCTGCCTTCCTAACACAGACCGTCTGTCTGGATGACACAACGGTGAAGTTTGAAATCTGGGACACGGCGGGACAGGAGCGGTATCACAGCCTGGCACCGATGTATTACCGCGGCGCCCAGGCAGCCATCGTCGTCTACGACATCACTAACACAGTGAGTACCACGGGGGGCACTGCCTCTCAGCTCACCGCGCGGAGTCCCTGCAGATGCCTGCCTGCAGGTACCGAGTTCCTTAAACTGCCCATGGCCTCTTCCTCCGTCCTGGCCAAGGCTGATAAAGGATCCTGCTACGAAGTGCTGCAGAGGCAGAATGCTTCTTACAGGAAAGACCTGCTCTACTCATATCGTCGCTGTGGGTTAGCGAGGGGCTGCCCTTCCTGACCGCTGCCTCCTGTTTGCTTCCAGGACACATTTGTACGAGCCAAGAACTGGGTGAAAGAGTTGCAGAGGCAGGCTAGCCCCAATATTGTAATTGCACTAGCGGGAAACAAGGCAGACCTTGCCACCAAGCGAGCTGTGGACTTCCAGGTGAGTGGGAACGCAGACCAGTTGTTACCTGAAGTCAAGAAACTTAACGGGGGAGAGTGGAAGTTGAGATTTATGCTGCTGAGGATCCTGGGATGCCACTCCAAGGGAAGTGTGGCCTGCCTGTTGATGCATGCCTTTCCGTGAGCTCCTTCCGCAGTGCTTGTCTCTAATGGTTGTGAGCAGCGTGGAGAGGTCAGGCCCACGGAGCAGGAGCTTCTGTCTTTGGTCTCTTCTGGTGTCTTACTCACCTGGGCCCGCCTTCAGCAGCGCATGGAACGGCACCTTGTAGACACGGGAAGAATCATTCCCGGCCTGTTCTGCTCTTCACAGCTCTTGCCTTGTCCAAGGCAAGCAAGCTTCCAGGGAGAAGCTGGTGGCACAGGAGCATTGCGGTGTGTTTGCAGGGTGTGTTGCTCTCCCAGCTGACCCGGGTGTGAGGCCCTGTGCTGTGTCTGCGCTGCTGTACCCAGCTCGGCTGCCACCAACCCTGTGGCGTCACTGGTGCCTGTCTCTGTCCTGGCCAGGGGATGGGGAACATGTCTGGCCTGGGGTGGGGGGACACCAAGGCTGCCTGGGTGCTTAAGTGTCTGCAAGCGGCGCATGTGAAGCCTGTGTGGACCTCCCCTGGCAGGATGCCTGAGCCACTCTGCTGTGGTTGTTTGTAGGACGCACAAACGTACGCGGATGACAACAGCTTGCTGTTCATGGAGACGTCGGCCAAGACAGCGATGAATGTGAACGAAATCTTCATGGCGATAGGTAAGAGCTGGTGGGCACAAGGGTGGCTGGGGCAGTTCCGGGAAGCCACGGGGGATCCTGGACTACTGAGCAGCTTGCTGGATTTCCGTGAACAGTCAGTCCGAGTGGGCAGCCTTTGCCTTGCAAAGCCCGTTCCCTCTCTCCCTTTATCTGGGGTGGTGAGTGAGGAAGGAGCAGGAGTGACTGCCAGAACTGGGAGTGGGGGTAGCTGTACTGGTGCTTGCCAGCAGCCCCCAGTCCCAAACTCCTAAGGACGTGAGGCCTTGGACCAGCCTGTGGTGGGGAGGAGGCTCTCCTAGAGCAATCTACTCACGTCTCCTTTCTTTCCAGCCAAGAAACTGCCAAAAAATGAACCCCAGAACGCTCCTGGAGGCCCAGGGAGGAATCGGGTGGTTGACCTGCAGGAGAGCAGCCAGCCTAGCAGGAGCCAGTGCTGCAGCAATTGAGCAGCCGATCCCGCCGGACGGAGCCCTGGAATGCCGTGACTGGAATCCACGCTAACAATCGCACTTACCGTAGAGCGGCCGCTGCTGGTGGCTGCTGTGATTTCTCCATCCCTTTCTGATCATAGGCTGGAGGGAGTTCTTCCACCTGCACCTTTCTGTACAAATACTAATTCAATTCTAAGTCTTAAGTCACTTTTTTAATATATGAACTTCTGCTCTTCCCTCTTCCTGGCGGTGGTGGGTGCGCGACCTGGTGTCTGCCCAGCCAGCTCCTCCCCAGCCGCGCCGGGGGGGCGGCAGCACCCGGGTCCCACGGCACTGTAGTTCACTATGGGGAAACAAAGGGATATCGAGAGGAGATGCCCTTGTTGGAAATCACCCGTGTGTAAAGGCCGAGGCTAAGCCGGTCAGATAGGCCTAGAACAACCACTAAACTGTAGCATTAGAGTGACAAACTCGGGCTTCTCAGCCACTTGTTGACCAAATCGATCGAGTATTCTGGGGTGGGGCGGAGGGAAGCGAAACTGGTTTCTTCTGTATTTTGTATTGTATGTTTCTTCATGTAACCAATCAGTATCTCGTCAATATAGTACCTACAACTAGCTGCCTGTTGTCTGTCTGTGTTGGACTCCAGCATGCCACCTCTTCTCTCCGGTTCTGTCGTAATGCACTAATCCTGCTGCAACTCTTGGAAAAATCCTGTATAGAAAATCATCCTTTTTTCTTTTTCTTTATTTTTTGGATGGTTGTGATGCCACTAATGTTGTTAAACCCTACTCTAGTGTGAATACACGTGGTTTACCGATGTACAGAGGTGGGGTGGGGGAGACCTCGGATAATGTCAGTGGGAATGAGATGCGTTGCGAAAGCCTGGAATTCCCCAGAGTGTGGAAGGAGGTATTAAAACGGCTTCTGTTGCCAGACTCTAACTGATGTTGGCTGCTGCCTAGTGCCTAACGCAGTCTCTGCTGCATACTGGTATTTAAGAGGAACTGTCAACTTTAGTCTTCATCACAAACTTCAGTTTTGTGTGATTAAAAAAAGAAACTTTTTACAAACCTACTACAGTCACCCCTGTTCATGTTTCTTCCTCAGCTTGAAGCAGGAGGGGACCGGACCAGAGCCCAGCAGTTGCGTGCAGCGAGTTTGTGGGGTGCTGTGCCGGGGTGTGTGAGGCAAACTGGGAATTCCTCACTGCCTGGTGCTTCTTGGGAAGTTATCCACGGCTTGGGGGGGAGAGTGGTGTGCAGAGCTCAGTTTGGCTGCTGGATGGGCTTAGGAATGTTGTGCTGGAGCGTTAAAGAACCAACTGTCTTGGAGGATGATGGCCTGGAACGATGCTGCTCCTGTCACTGCTGCATGGACTCAGCTCCTCACACCCATGGGTGAGACCTGGAGTCTGTGGAAAGCGGAGCCGCCCTGTGTGCGTGGGAGAGCCTGGAGACGGGTGCTGGAGCCCGCTGCCCCTCAGCCGAGCGGCTGCCGGAGCTCAGGGACCAGCTCTGTCACCTGCGTGACCAGCCCTGCTGGGATCCTGCGAGTGAGGTGTCTGTGGGGGCAGCCTGGGCTCACGTGGGCTTTGCCCTCCCGCCAGGGTCTTGGTGCCTGTGCTCCTGCTGGATTTCCTCAAAATCTGGGGAGTGGGAAGGGCTTGGAGCAACTCAGGGCCTGAGTTCCCAATGCCTGGCTGGGTCTCCAGGTGCTTTGCTCACCTCGTGCTGTGGGTGCTGCTTGTTTCTGCCCGGGCCAGAGCAGCTCAGGACCTTGCTGTGGGGCTCGCTGCTCCCAGTGGGGCTTGGACTGGTGCCGCTGGTTTCCCCAAGCAGCAGGAGACCCGTTGGCAAAGGGCTTCCCGGCTCCCAGCTCTGAGCATCCCTGGGAGCGCGATGCGGGGTGCTGTTGCCATCTGCTGGCTTCGGGCACTTGGTTCCTGGTCGATGGAGCTTCATTTCCTTTCTGGGGTAATCTCTGCCCTAAGGGGTGTCGGTAGTGGGGTTGGGGGCCTGCTGTGGGGCAGTGCAGCTCTGCTCACAGGGCTGAGCCTCCTCCTGCCCCGGGGAAGGGCAGCCTGCACTCAGGGCAGCTCCAACACGAACAGGCGTGCCTGCCCGCATACCTGCTGCCTGCCCAGGCCTGAGCAGGGGTGCGCACGGGTGCTGCAGTGCCTGGGG